GGGAATTCTTGAAAGGCAATTGAGGTTCCTGAAATTTCTTGTTGGGATGATTGTAATTCCTTGGAAGAAGATTCGGAAGAAGATGAACTAAGGAAGTTGATAGTTATTGTTGGGTATATTAGTGGAGAAATGGTGACGATTTTGATTGACACTGGAGCAGTAAGAAGTTTTATAGACAGTGACTTGGCACAGAAGATGCAGCTGAGCAGGAAAGTGGTTAGGCCATACTATGTCAAAGTGGTTGATGGGCATAAGATCAAGAATAATGTGATATTATGCCCCGCTGCTCAATGGGCAATTCAAAAACACAATTTCAAGTTTGATTCAGAATAATGAAAAATGAGGCATTGGGGAATGGTACTTGGTACAGATTGGATGCTCATTTTAACCCAGTACTGTTTGATTATGAGTTTTGCAAGATTTAGCTGACCAGAAATGGAAGAAGATTTATGTTGCAGGGACATTCCTTAGCATGAGAAGAAGAAATGCAGTAGATTATCAGGTCAGTGGGATCAGCCAAGCGAAGCATAAAATACTCACATAATAAGAGACAAAGGGTGGAACAGCGCTATAATGTTTCTGATCAGAGGATGAGATGGTGCAATGAAAGAAATCCAGAGGAGGAGGTGAATGAGATCTTCACTTTGGGTGATTGCAAAGGGGAGACAGAAGAAGATGTGGAAGTTCATGTTGACATCATAGCAGTATTACAGAAATATCAGCAAGTTTTTGAAGAGCAAACCACCTTGCCACCTGAGAGATTGGTAGATTATCAGATTCCACTCAAACCTGAGGCAGTACCCTTTAAAAATCAAAACTTATAGGTATCCACATGCCCACAGAAATAAAATTGAAGATCAAGTGGAGGAACTAATTAAAAATACGACTGCTAGAGAAAGTAACAGCCCATATGCATCTCTTGTTTTGCTGGTTAACAAGAAGAATAACACTTGGAGAATGTGTGTGTAGACTACAGGCACCTGAATGCTCTCACCATCAAGAGTGCATATTCTATTCCAGGCATAGAGGAATTGCTGGATGAGTTAAGTGGAGCAAAATATATCTACAAGATCGATTTGAGGGCTGGTTATCATCATATTAGAGTATGCCCAGAAGATATTCCAAAGACAACATTTCAGACTCTCCGTGGACATTCTGATTTTCTGGTAATGCCCTTTGGACTCACTAATGCTCCTGCTACTTTTCAGAACTTGATGAATAATGTTTTCAAACCTTTCTTGAGGAAGTTCGTGCTGGTATTTTTTGATGATATACTCATATACAACATCTCTTTAAGGGAACATATGAACCACCTTGTTTTGGTAATGCAAGTATTAGTAGATCATCAGTTATATGCCAAGAAGTCTAAATGTTCTTTTGCCAAGACTTCCAGGGAATACTTAGGCCATGTCATTTCTCAAAAGGGAGTGTATATGGATACTATGAGGGTCCAGTGTCTACAAGATTGGCCTCTACCATCTACAGTAGAGCAATTGACGGGTTTTCTTGGATTAGCTGGCTACTATAGAAGGCTTGTCAAAGGTTTTGATTGCATTTGCAAACCTTTGACTCAGTTATTACAGAAAGATGGATTTCAATGGAATGATCAAGCTACTGAAGCTTTCCAAAGATTGAAGTTAGCCCTTACTTCTGCTCCAGTACTCAGGTTACCATATTTTTCTCAAAGCTTTGTGGTTGAAACTGATCCTTGTGGGGAAGGGATGGGAGCAGTCTTGATGCAGCAGCAACAACCCATTGCCTTTCTGAGTAAAGCATTCTGTGAAAAGAATAAAGCCTTATCTACTTATAAGAAAGAGTTATTGGCTCCGGTGATGGCAGTTACTAAATGGAAACACTACTTACATGGTCCATTTCATTGTGAGAACTGATCATTTTTCATTTACATACTTGTTGGAACAGAAACTGCTTACTCCTTTGCAGCACAAGTGGATGATCAAGCTGCTTGGATTGGATTATGAAATTCAGTATAGGAAATGGAAGGAGAACATAGCAGCTGATTCACTTTCTAGGAGGTTGAATGATCATGATGAATCAATGCCATTACTTCTGTGCAACCCTTATGGCTACAACAAGTGTCTAAGAGTTATAATGGTGATATAATGGCTCAGCAATTGATAGCATGTGCTACATTGGATAGTGATAATCACCCAAACCTCAGTACATTGGAGGACTCTTAAAGGAAGATGGAAAGATGTATGTTGGTGATCATGGTAAAATCAGGAAGATTTTGTTAGAAACTTTTCATTCCTCTGCTTTGGGGGGCCTCTGGTCAGAAGGCTACTTATCAGAGGTTAAGAAGCTTGTTCATTTGGAGGAATTTGAAGAAAGAGGTGAAAAATTTTGTGAAATCTTGTGCAGTATGTCAGGCCACTAAGGTTGAGCATGTGCGTTATCCTAGTTTACTACAACCTCTACCAATCCTTCAACAGGCTTGGAAAGGAATAGCCATGGATTTCATAGAAAAACTATCACTGTCTACTTAGGGTTTTGATTGTATTTGGTTGGTGGTTGATAGACTGACCAAGTATAATCGTTTCATACCATTAAAACAGCCTTTCGCTGCTCAGGATTTGGTTGAGATATTCTGTAAGGAGATTTTTAGATTACATGGACTTCCTGAGTCCATAGTGACTGGCAGAGATAAGATTTTCACTAGCCATTTCTGGAAGGCTTTGTTCCAAGCATTGTGGAGTTATGTTTCAGCACTGTTTATCACCCTCAAACAGATGGCCAATCTGAAAGGTTGAATCAGTACCTGGAATGTTAATTGAGGTGCTTTTGTAGTACAGCTCCAAATACTTGGTCCAAATGGTTGGTTATGGCTGAGTGGTGGTACAATACAGCTTATCATTTCAGTGCTTCAATGTCACCATATCAAGCTTTATATGGTTATGAACCCACATGAATTCCTTCAGGAAATTATCACAACATGATGGTGCCTGTTGCTGCTGATATGATACAGAATGTGATGGCGAAGTTGAAAGACAGCTTGGAGAAGGCTCAACAAAGGATGAAGTACTTTGCGGATCAGTCGAGAACTAAGAGAACTTTTCAGGTTGGAGATTAGGTACTGTTGAATCTACAACCTTATATGCAGCAGACTGCAGTGAACAGAAGGTCATTGAAGCTTATGGTGAGATACTTTGGCCCTTATGAAGTGGTTGGAAGAGTTGGAAATGCTGCTTATAAGTTGGAACTGCCAGTGGGATCAAGAGTGCACCTAGTTTTTCATGTATAATTGATGAAAAATTTTGTGGGAATCGTACCAACTCAAGTTTCAGATTTGAAAGATTTGGAGGATGCTGAGGAATGCTCCTTGGAATCTAAAAGGATTTTGCAGAGAAGATTGGTCCGTAGAGGTGCTGATGAGATTGTGCAGAGGTTGATCAAGTGGAAAGGCTAGCTTGAGGATTCTTCATGGGAGGACAGTGGTTTCATTAAGGGTCAGTTTCCAGTTTTTGAAACTTGAGACAAGTTTGATTCAAGGCTGATGGAATGTCATGCGCGCCACTATGTTTAAGGCGCTGGAATTCAAATTGAGCTGCTGCAGAGGACAATGTCATTTGTCACGCTGGCATTTATTACGCACATGCACGTCAATGGCATGATGCTTCTGTAGTATAAATAAGAATGATGGTGTGGAGATTATTCTAGAATATAGTATCATTTTGAGAGTTATACTCAAGTCTATTTCTCCCCCAATTTCTCTCTATTCTCTTCTAATTACAATTCTCTACTTTCTTGAACCCTAAGTCACCAATTCATTGAATTTTCTTTCTAAAATTCGCGGATTTGTTTACATTTCGGAGCTGGAAATTGCCAGATCCTGTCATACCCACAAAACTGCTCCAACTCATATAAATTTTTACACTCACTCCAACAATCACACAGTTCAAACCTTCTGACTTCGCACTCCAATTCAATCATCAATGCAAATGCTCTTAAACACCACTCTAGACGAAGTTTTGGAAAGTTAGGAAATTTAAAAATACAAAATTCGGGACCAAAATCACGTCGTATTGACATCCAGGGTTTTACTGACAAAAAAATCCAAAAAATATGGAAAAAAATTCATTTGGATTATTTCAAGTATTACGATGAGAAAAAAGATGGGATTTTACTCAAGTATTAGGGTTTTATCACCACTAATACCAAGGAGGTATATAGTCCCATTCTCTTAAAGTTGTAGTGCGTCCAATCTGATTTCAATGTTAGCAAACAAAAAGAAGAAAGTGTTACAACATATACATTCGTTCCATCCATTTAAACACTTATCACATAGAAAGACGTTCATTGGTTGGTGTTTCTTGAGTTTTGGACGCAGAGTTGTTATCGGGTTACAAACTTTTTTAGAAGGGAAATGAAGTCATAACTTGGGTTGATAAGATTCTGGGTAGATTTCTTGGAGATCCATGAAATTATTACCAACTGGGTGCTTGCAAAGAAGATTAGGTAGAAACATAAGAAGTGCTCCATGAGAAGGGCCACTGGATAGTACATCCTGTTAAAAAAATCAACCAGCAATACCAGGTTCCATCATGAAACAAAGTGAAGAATAAAACCAAAGGAGTTGGGCTCGAATTTGGATAGTGCATCAATATCATCCAAGATGTTCAACGAACAAGCTCATCAGACATGAGTATTATGAGGTTGAAATAAATAGTAAAAGTTGTCCATACGGTCACAGCAGGTCTCTTCGATTGAATAGATAAACGAAGGGACGTTTAACAACAGGAGCGAGTTAGCCATCCACTTCAGCAATTACTGACAGTCTTCTTTTTCAAATGGGAATTTTTATAGTAAACTCTTGTGGTGTAGTGATTGCTGCTGACCTTCAAAGCAGGTACAATTGGCTGACAATGAAAAGAGAGCATATCTTTACTAGTTTATCCATAACATGAAAGACAAAGAAAGTAAAAACTAACACTGCTTGAATAGCTAAGGAAGGAATTACCCTTTTTTAGATAAGAACCTTCATGTCAGTGGGACTCCTCGACTTTTTTGTTCTTATCATCCGCATCTGTGGTAGTTGATGCATTTGCCGATGCATCAAAATCAGTTATACTTTTCAAGTGGCCTTTTTCAGGGTTCAAGCAAGGGAGTTCTGGGCTCTGATGAGACAGCATTTGATTGTTTTTTGATCTTTGAGACAAACTCTGAGTCAGAATGCTCGTTGAACCGGAAGCTTTCAGTTTCACTGATAAGGGCACCTCAGGTATTTCAAAGGACTTTCCTGAGAACTCTGGAGGCTTATGGAAAAGAAGATGAGCCACAGTACGATCAATTGGATTAGTTTCCGTTTCCACTTCAGATGTTTTCTGTAACCTGCAAGATCCAATAATGGTTAATAACTGCTGGTAGGAATTGATACCCAAGAAGGATACACAACTTTTTTATTAAGTTCAGAAATGAATGCAGAGTTGGTTTATCCAAGAATTCACACATGAATGTATTAATGATGATCCCACAATGTCAAAGAAGGTTACAATTAGTAAATTCCTGGTTCAAGGTGCCTCTTAGTGATGATTAAACAAACTATGGGTGAAAAGGTAACAAACTAGAATAACAAATTTCACTAATGTTGCAGTATTTACCACTACTTTAAACAAAATTGCACAGCATTTGAAAATTTCATATTGATATTGATATGTATTGAAATGATGAATTGTGGACACATTCTTTTAAAGGTACGAGGGAAACTATCACCTAATCCGCCAGAAGCTAGCATCAATGTCGGCAAAGTGAGGTAACTTTCTAACGAAAAACAGATGAAGTAGTTTCCTTACCTTTCCCTACAATCCCCCCCATCTTTCCTTCAAAGCAAGCATAAATACATAACATATTTTTGCTTTTCTCTTCGGACTAGAGAGGCTAAAGTAGTGCATATTACAAACATGAGATTACAAGATCAACCACCAAATAACAATGATAGGACACTAAGAGTAAGAAGAAGAGACATTTTCCTCCCCTGTAATTTTCAAATCCTAATATTCCTTCACTTTGGCTTGAAAGTTAACCCCCTTGTACTATAGAATCTGCAATAGAGTGGCAGAAAAACAAACAGCGACCACCATATAATGAAATACCAGGAGTTCTCTTATGATCTCACCCATGAATCCATGCTTCGGCTTATATCTCATTCACATTGAAGTTAGATGGCCCAAGTTCGCTGTGAATAAGAGCTATAAGGAGATTAAAGCTAGGAGATGAAAAGTATGGACAGAACACTTAGATTTCCTCGTATTTCCCTAAATTCCTGTCCCTGTTTGCATTTCTGATTCGTTTTGCAGCGCAGTTGAATGCAAATGCAAGGAAAGTGGGTTTCTAAACTACAAAAGAGAATGTGAAATTTAAAAAAACAAAAGGAGCAATGTCTTTTATGCCAGAAACTTATGCCAAGATTGGATTACATATACGAAAAATTACACAGTTATAGGTACTTAATTAACATGCCTATTTCCATTTCAAAATTGGTTTTCTAGATTCAATATGCACCTCTCTACATTATAAGATGGATTCTTTGAGTTCCAAAACGTCTGGTTTGTAACCATGGAATTGTCTCAAATCATTAAAACGCTGAAAATTCTTTTTTCATAAACATAACAAATGATGGTTGGACTATTTTAAAGTAAAATTTCTTGTTATATGTTTCATGAAATTTTGAAATTATTTGAGAATAGTTTGACTTGGTCTAAGTAAATCTTACTTTGTGTGAGTCTAAAATCTGATAGCTTATTTTTTAGGAAAAGAGCTTGATTGTATTCCTTAAACCAAGGTCCAAATATTCTCGTAATAGTCCACCCTCTTTCAGAGGTTCACATATAACTACTTGTCATACTCTCTTGAAGATTGTTTCAATAACAAGATTTAATTCATTATCTAGATTGTTGACACAATTCGATATAATTCTCTTTTCATTGAAAGTCAAAAAACCGGGTTTTCTGAACTTGGATGACTATGTACGCACTTTTTCTGATAATTTGGAAAGAAGAACTAGAAATAAAAAATTAAAAGAAAAACCTAGAAATGTAGAAATACATTGTAGGGTTTCCTCTTCCTCTCGCAGGGAGTCTTAAGCACTATTATGTATACCTGCTTTCACAGTTTAGAAATGAAACAGACAAAATAAAAACCTACATTGTTTTCAAGGTCAATAAAAAATAATGTACATCTTGTTTTTCCTGTAATAATGATAATGCTGACAATCACAAGGATATTCGATACTTATGCCAAGGATCATCATGATCCAAGGAATTGGTTAAGTTAATTCTTTATTAGGCAACAATTTAGTTAGTTTATAAAACCATCTACAACCTGATTAAGATACCCCCACGCTGTTGCTACGTCAATCTGACATCCGAGCCGAATTTCCTGGTGAAATCTGCTTTTTAGGGTTCCCGATTTTACATACATCACTTTGGCATTGATTTTCCAGATGAATTGTGCTTTCCTAAGGGCTAAGAGATCCACATTTATGAACCCATATAGCTTAGATCATCCTAATTCAGTTTGTAGTTCAGAAATCGTGGAGGGAGATGAAGTTTTTGATGACCTAGATGAGATGTGTTTGTTTGATACTGATGATTTAGAAGAGGAAGAAGATGACGTTGATATGTCTTATCTTACCCTCATTAGACATATCTCTATTGCACCAAAAACAGGAGAGGAAGATCGGAGGAGGACATCAATATTTCAGACATTGGTTTCTTGAGGGAAAGATGCCAAGTATGAATTTGGTTTCTAAATCCACTGTGAAAAGGCTGGATTTAACCAGAGAGCCTCATCCATATCGATGTAAGGTTTCTTGGATTAATAGCACAACTATTCCTGTGACAAAGTGTTGCTTGGTAGAAATCAAAAGAGGTAGGTAAGTTGATTCTGTATGGTGCGATGTTATTCCCATGAATGTTTCACATATAATCTTAGGAAGACCTCGGTTATATGATCGAAAAATAATACATGACGGTGAAGCCCACCTACTCCTTTAAGTTCAACAAACCAAGAAATTGTTTTGAAGCCTCAGTCTCCTGAAGCCATGTTGAAGTATTGCTCACCTACATCAGCTAAGGCAATAGGGGATATAAGGGTTCCTGACGTTATAGCAACAGTTAGCAATGTCATTGTTACTAAGGTGCGCGAGTATAAGGCTGATCTGGTTCAGGACCTGCTAGAGGCATCTCTAGAAAAGTCCAATGATGAACTTACTGATCATGTGGTTCAACAAGAAAATAATCCTATGGTCTATGTGGTTCATGAGTTCACAAAGGACACTACAAATAAAGCTACAGCTTCGTAGGATTTCAAAGAGGATCATAAAGGAGAAGCCATGAATGAATTGGTAGAAGATGTAGTTCAGGAAGTTCAACGAAGTAAGCTTAAACCATGAACCACATAGACCAGAGCAGAGGGAGAGAAAGTTTCCGCAGTAACGAGAATCTTGGACAACCAGTTCATGAAATATCTTGGTTCATATCAGGATCAAACGATGATACTAAAAAGCCCTGCCATCAGGGACAACCTGAATGACATTCTCATGAAGTCTGAAATTGATCATCTTTCAGAACCAATTGAAATCAAGATTTATGATCCTGGAATCCCAAGATTGATTTTGTTTTCGGTGAGGATCATGAGTCTACACAAGAGAACAGACTTCAAATGTCTTTGATTCTATATGAACTTAATCAAAAGAAGTTCTTTTTTACTGATTACGCTGCAAACAGAGGGCTGAAGATGCAGATTTTTGGGTTCGTCATTCTCAGACACTTTAAAACTCGAGGACAAGTTTTTTTTGGAACCAGGGAGAATAATGCGGACAAAGAAGGGGCTAGGAACTCTATCCCCATATGCCAAGGATCATCATGATCCAAGGAAGGAACCAAAGTGCTAACACTTTGGTTAAGTTAATCCTTTATTAGATAACAATTTCGTTAGTTTATTATTATCAATAGTAATTTTTAGGAAATGGTATTTTAGTATTTTAGCTATGCTGCAGGATTTTCGGGAGTAAAAAGGAAATTAGGTGTAAATCCTAGTTGTCTTTGCTTTAGGTTAAGTTTTAGGCCTATATATATGTACCTCATATGAGGAGAATTTTCAGTTTAACAGAAAAATTCCTGCTAGCTTTTGCTTCCAACAGCAGTTGTGTGACACAACTTCTTTGGGTGTGATGCCTAAGAATCCTGTGGTGTGATGCCAAAGGCCCTAAGAGTGCTTAGGTTTTGTTCTTGCTTTATCTCTGTTTTCCTGCGATTTCTACCCTGTTTCCCTACAGTTTTCGATTATCTGCTGCGTTTGATCCTATTAAACCATGTACAACCAGATTAAGATACCCCCACGCCGGTGCTGCATCAAATCTTCACAAAGCCTCTTTATTAAACATATAGCTTCTGTATAAATCTTATTACGGACATAAATCCACATTAAAAAGATCTAGATACATGAATAAGAATGAATAAAACATTGACTACATAATATGCATACATATAGATATGAGAAGAAACACAACCAAGCATTCGGAAAGTGTCCAACTAAAGTTGCTTACTTACCTTCTCATATATACATTTGCATTTATTATTCTTTCAATAAAGTGAAAAACTGTTCTTGATTATGAAGGATTTCCAGTAAGGCTTGAAAGAAAAGATGTACAACTGAACATGCGGATCTTCTTCATGTGCTATTAATGCAATGGTGGATAAAAGAGTCCTCCCAATACCCACGGATAAGTGTGACAGCCATAATTTGTGGGCGTTTATTAGTAAGCATCAGTATCAACTTATTGGTTACTTTTACACGGGCTATCTCATTGGAAGTCAATAACCTTTTTCTGAATTCATTCTCCTGCCAGGTTGTAACTTCGGAAAACAGTGAGTGGTGTTCTTTCCATAGAGGTCTAATGTAAATCTATTGATGCAGTTGTATGTAAGGCAAAATGTTAGGAAAATTAAAAAAAATTACACTACTTAAAATGCCGATCATAAGATTTAAATCAGACATCAAAATTTTCGGGGCACCTGTTCGGACTGTCGGTTTCTTCTGTTCTAGAAATATCATCTCGGCTAGTCTTGTTGCTACTGCTTGTATCACAGGCCAATTGCCTCCGAGAAGCACTCTGAGCTAGCCGGAACAAACTATCCCTGATGCAAAGTCTCACTCTGAGGTCCAACTGTGAGGACATTGGCACATTAAAAAAACATCAATAGAAGAGTCGACAAAGTTACCAGGAATAAAATCATCTGCATTTGTGTCAACCTTTCCAACAATATCCTGAAGCTGGTAAAGAATGGAGTCCTGGACAGGGCAGTCACCGTGAGCCAAAGGTATTGTAATGGAGTCATCTTGTTCACCAGGAGAATTGGGATCCAAAGAAGGTAATATTGAAAGGTTATCCTCAGATTCATTATGTTCTCCCTCTGCAACTGAATGTTGAGTAGACGAGACTTGATTGCCGAACTGCTGCTGTTGTTTCTGAATTGCAAGCATTGCCCTCATTTGCTGCCGCCTTCTTAATTTTTCAATTTTCTCTTGAGGCGTCATCATTGAATTATTGATGGGGGCTTCACTGGACTGGTTCAAAGGATTCAAATTACCCCGAGAAACATCATAACTGGTAGCCACTGGCTGCTCGGTACCTTCCCCGGAATGATAATGTGACGCAACAGGATTGGTGGCATAATTTGTTATATTCCTGTGCATGAAAGACATAAGGCTCGGATGCTTATACTGCAGGGAATCTGCTCCTTGAAGCTGTCCTTGCTGAGTGAATACCAAAGGTGAACAAACTTGACCCATATTTGGCACATATGGGCTATTAAAATGCAATATTTGGCTTCCAGTTTGAGTCCATGCTTGCAAGTTTCGTACATGCCTGGCGTCACTTTTTACTTCAAGCTGTTTCCGGGCTTTCACCAATTTCTTTTGCCGATTACCCTGCACCCAATAAAACAACTAGAGCAACAATCTGATGCATAAACATAATACGTGAACCAAATACATGAGAAGGAAGTACTAAAACAGGCAGCTAACACTTTTTATTTTACTAAAGTATCATGAACCCAGTTTTGCCATGAGTCCCCAACTCATAAATGATTTACACTTACATTAAGAAAGATGGGAGAGAAAAATGGAATTGCATAAATGGCAAAAGCTTGATACATGAGAAATCACGGAAAATTACCAACACAATTGATTTGCACACACACACACACACCCACCCGCACACACCACATGCCACCATATAGCAAGAACATTGGAATATTAAAATCAAGGAGATTATGGGATCAAATGGAAACTTCACAACCTTCAGGAAACTAGATTAAAAATTAATGTTGAAGAACTGTGATTGTTCACTTTCCTAATAAAGTACAACCTTACATTGATGGGTAAACAAATGCTATGAAGAGAGAATATAAATCCAGAAATTTTTAGGTTAAAGAGTTCTCTTATTAGTGCATCAGTTATCAAGAGAATAAGACATCCACATCAACGATTAAGAACAATATTCATAACCATTACTTATTTCGGAAATTGAATAGCTAGGCCATTGTAATAAGTACCACAAATTATTGCAAAAAATTCAAAATACGAGTTGCTGAAGGCTTCTAAAAGTGCCATTTTGCATTTGCAAACCCACCTAAATGTTGACAAGAGAATATGCAATAGCTAGGAGAAGGAAAGAGCTCTAGATGATAAAAACTGTTTTGGTTCTGAGCATTTGCTTTTACCAGGAGATCCAAGAAATACCTTAACCATGTATTCATCAGGTCCTGCAACTTTTCCAGAATCAAGGTTTAAGCTGTATGAGGGATTACTTCCACTTATCTTGAAAGCCATCTGCAAATACCAATGAACTGTTAATAACTTATTTATTTCTCTGATAATGTAGAAATTCAAATGACAATGAGGTTAATATCTAAGTTCTATAGAAATGTGAGACCTTTTCTTTTAACGGGAGATTTCGATTACTTCCAGGATCTTCAATATTTACAAGACATGATTTGATGTCCAGTGGGTCATCAGAAGCCAGTAAGTTCAGATTTTCATAACCGGGCATAAATGACTGATTTTGATCTAAAAAATATTCTTCTTGGCCTCCAAATTTCTCAGCAGTCCTTACTGTGCCAAATGTTGAACATGTCGAATCGCCTGAAGGATGAATAGACTTCTCTGGGCTGCTAATTACATCTTTGGAGGACGACCACAGCTCTTCTGGATTGCCAAGGGCCCCATGTCCAAATATGGCATCTTCATTGCTGGAAAATATCACTTGTGAGGATATTAGGTCAGATTGTTACTGTCAGATGACCCTAACTACATCAGACTGAGATCTTCAAAGACCACAATACTAGCATAAATTTGATCACAGATGGTGCTCCATTTCATGGTTTTCCTGAGATCAATACTATTCCTCACCAAAAGTGAATTATTGATTATTGATGCTTGAGATATAAGCACCCTTGCCCAGTATTTCAATACAGAGAAGTTAAGAAGCACCAGAATGTAATAGCGCCATTTTGATCTAGTCCATTATTAGCACCAAGCTAGAATGTCAATGATGACTCTTCCAGCTCCATTTGGAATGTACGTAAATAATGTGCTGAGAGAGGGATTTGAACCCACACCCTTTTGACCAGAACCATAATCTGGAACTAATGCTCAAGAAATTTGTAAACTAATCAAAGGCAAGAAAACCACGGGTACAGACGCGAAGGCCTCAATAGCATTTGGTGTAGTGTTTTTCCTTTGTCATTCTTTCATTTTTTTTCCTCCAATTCATGTTTCCCACAATAGAACTTTCTCTCTCAATCTTTCTTTGTCCTTTTCTACTTGCATATAGAAATGAGTTAATTTTCTTTCTTTTACTTTTAGAACTTATTCTTTTTTCTCTATCCTGCAAACCAAAACACAAGATCCTGTTGAAACTACCTTATGTAACATCCCAAAAACGCATTTCTTCATTTCATCAGAATTCTTTCTAGGTTTAACTCTAAGTTGAACTAATTTAGCATGCTTTTGTCCTCTTTGGCCAAATGGAGGATCCTAACTTCCTAAGCGAGTACATGACGGGTTTTATAATTAGTTATGTTGAAGCACAAGTTGGTAAAGACTTGATTCTAGTTTGGATTATTCTGCTGTGAGCAATTCATTTACTTTTACAGGGATATTTGAAAACTTTCATATGTAAACTATGTTGCATTACCTTGGTTAAATACTAGTTTGGCATGTACCACCAACTATCTGATTGAATTAATCAAGGGTTTTGTGATCATTTAGTCATTTGTAGATCCCTGATACAAAGATTTTTTGGATAATGTCCTGATATATTGTCTGTGTATTAAGCTCCACTGAACAGTTTTGACGCGAGTCAATGCAATTAAAAGGAGCAAGTATGCTGTAATTTTTGTGATTATTTAGTTATTTGCTGATTCTTGTTATGAGGCCTGTGAATATTAAGGTCTACTGAATGGTTTTGACATGAATTGTAGCAATTAGAAGGGGGCAGTAATTTGTACATGTGAAAGTGGCATAAGTGATGGTTAGACTAGTTATGGCTCACATCAACAGTAATCAACACAGAAAATATGAAAGGTTTTTCATTACCTAAAGATCCTATCAAGATCCTCAAAGCTCCCAACACTAGCCCAGCTGTAGTCAACAAAATCACCTTGCTCGCTAGCTTCAAGGCTCGTCCCAAAAATTTCAGAATTTTTATTAAGTGCTCCTGCTTTTTCATCTGAAAACAAATGCAAAGGGTGAGGAAATTGAAACTCCACAATCAATTTATGACAAAATAACTCTTGCAATCTATAAATTAAGTACCAGCGCTGGCATCATCACTAATTTTAATCATGCTTTCACACTTCTCAGTGCCTAAAGAATCCTGATCAGGCCATGAGTCCACACTAAATTCTGTTGCGGGAAAATCTTCACCTTTGTCATATTGTGAACTGCACTCCTGTTTCACGCCATGCTGGTCAATAAGGGCCGTACTTTCCTTCTGCTCAGTAGATTTTATATCCACAGTTTCCTGATTTGTTTCTTTCTTTATGCAATCTCCATATCCTAGAGAATTTTGTTCTTTGGCATCTGGATATGGAACAATGTGGTCCTGACTTTCCCCCTCCTCACCCCATATAATGTTTGATAGCTGAAACATATCAAGTTACCAAGACTTCAGATTAAGCATAAACAGAAACCTTTATTAGTAACTGCAAAAGTCGCATAATTAAAGAAATTGAATGAAAAAGTAATGACCACTCAGCTTTGAATCTTTGTGCAGTCAGCTCTATGGAATCTATTCATGGTGCTATAGCAAAGTAAATTAATAATAAATAAAAAAAATTGAATAATAATAATAATAATAATATAATAATAATAATTTAGTTTGAAATAATTTCATCTTCGTAGCTGATACTACTAATCCATTTCTTTTAAAGCACATTCTGATGAAGACAAAGATAATTAATAATAATAATAACAACAATAATAATAATAATAATTATTAAGTTGAGTAGATTGGGCAAAACTGCTAGTTCCTTTTACTCGAAAAATCTTATCAGTTCACTACAATTGATCCATTTCAAGGAAATACAGCAGGACTTATTGGACCCTCAGTCCTTAAATCTTCATGCAAGGGATTGACTATTAAGAATCTCCAAATTGTCAACAAATTAGCTTTTTTAAGATCTAATAAGGAACAGATGCTTTCTTCAGGCTTTGGACCAGAGTCAAGATTGCAGAGGGAAACTTTTCCCATGCTATAGTTGAATTTTCTACTCCCATAGAACTCACCACAATTCTGTTTGTGCGGCAAATCTGGCGTGCCGGTAGTACCCAATATAAATATCCTCAATACGATGAATGTGTGCTGAACCATCTACATGTAAAACTGGAAAGTCGCCAGAAAGCCACTACTTTTCGTGAAAAGCTTCAGCAACTCAGAACATGTGGGTACTGTCAGCAATGAACTAGACTCCGCAATAAAGCCGGCTAGAGTGTTACGTAAAGACCTACTATAACTGATAGATGGCTTGAGTGCTGCTGACCAGCTTAGTCGACTAAAATCAGGATTTTCAGTTAGATTCTTGATTTGCTAATTGACAGACAACAGTTACATTCTAAAACTTTCTCTAAGGAATATCATGCCATCAAAGGCCAATAATGTGGTACAGATTTCTGTTCTTCCACATTTTAAAACAAGATATATCTCAACATCATTAGACTATGTATCTCAAACCAAAATGATGGTAGAGGAAGCACCTTCTGCGGGACTGAACTCCCGACCCATTGAATCACTCATTTTGTATAAGTGACAGTTGCAATTATAGAGAACATACAAGTAAACACTTTTTATAACATCCAATGCTTAGATTAAAAACAGAAAACAACATATCAAGTAAATGTTATTTTCAAAGTAATAAGCAAGGTTTCTGCAGCTGGAAGTCTCAAGAGCAGATCAAAATCACTAATGGATGATCCAGCTTCAGAAGATTTGAAGTTAAAAAAAAAAAAAAGTTACTTTAAGAACACAAACTCTGTATGATAGTGTATGATAGTATTCACATCCACCATCACCAACGGCATAGCACTATCCAAGTACAACTACCTTGAACCCATGATAAAATCCCTCTGCTAAACTTTCCCAAGCCTATGATGCCTTCTTTTTCAAGAAATGGCCATGATCACAAATCTTGATTATTAAAAAAAGGAGTCAAGCACTTAAACAGTGATCACAGTGTTATTTATGAATACCTGCCAATTTTGTCATGATACTGCACTAATCTCTATTGACGCCTCTATTGTCTTTCTAATCAGAGCTTCAACTAAATGCGATGCTGTCCACACAATACGATTAGCATCTGTTTATTTCGAATTGAATTTTTTTCTTTCTTACACCTTTGAATATTATACACAGCATAAAGTGCTTGTTTGGCCACAACCAACAGTTTACCATTTACTTCTGACAAATATAACAATAAATGAACAGAAACTTGTGTAAAAGAACCCTGCTAAGCAAAACAAGTGCCATATCTTATTGCCAATCAGAAAGAAAGACATGGTTTCAGACCCGCCCTCAATGCAGTTCCAAATGAGCTCAAGGAAATGTTAAAGGTTGAAAATTGGACTTCAGAAATCTTGATATGTTTTCTTTCTCTTGATTCAGACTTTGAGTTCTGCGGATACTTTCATCCTTGCAGCTAGCTTATATACCATCAAATATCATTTTCCATTGAATTATTACAACAACAACAACAGCAGCAGCAGCAGCAGCAACAATAGAATCCCAACTTCATTGGGGTCAGGGGGGGTGGGTGGGCAAATATGTACACAGTCTTACCCCTGTATTTTCAATCTTGCATGGAAGAAACTAATTATGGCCCAGGGATATAAAGTCAACATTCGCTTCTGCTTCAGTTGATACTACTTGTACTGTCCAATTGTTGACTAATGTATTAGTTGTGACATAAAAAGTAGTTCTTTGAAGAAGCTCTAATGAGTTAGAAGTCTCAAAAAGTTTATACCTTTGACCACAGAATCCTACTAATAGCTGGATTAGTTATTTTCCACAAGAATTAGGTGTAAAGGGGTAACTAAACATACTTCTGAAAGCCTCTACTTCCTACATGCTATTCCCAAACAATGATTTCTATTCAAGCAATTTCCATTTCAGGAAAATTTGTTAAATAATCATCTGAATGCTTTACTTTGAATTGGAAATTTTTTCAGATTTGATTCCGGCTCTTGAAATTAACTTGCTAACTGTCAAATCTCGTAGATGCAGCTCTTGTGAGATTGTACAGGAATTAGTATGCTATTTCAGCTGCAAAAGAAGAAAATGAAAGGAACCAAACAACATGGCACACAAATATACAGATAAAGTCAAGTAATCTACTTTGGGATTTAGATTGTGATTTGCATCCCAACCACAAGTTCACACCACTAATAACAACTAGAAATGTTGGTCTCTTAAAATTTCAAGTAGAATTTAAGCAGTACAGGTACCCTCTTACACCCATTCCACAACCATTCCTCAGGTAATTGAAGTAAAACTTAGCAACAATTTTGACTAGTATACCTATGTAATAATGAGGGGGAAAATAAAAACCAAAAAAAAAAAGTACCTATTCGTATCAACTACCAACTTATGATACTTGGTGGACCAAGCAAACTATATAGCAGATCAATGTTTTCACCCGCAACGAAATTTCATCTGAGATTAATACAGACATCCTAAACATGGTAAAGCGAAACAAACGTAAAATCGGTACTTCAATAAAAATAAAAAAAAATAAAAAAAAAATAAAAAAACTAGGACAATTTCTACCTAATAATTAAGAATTGTTAAAAAAAACAAAAGAAAAGAAAAATCATCCTCAATTTCATCAATAAGATGCCCAATCATGAAATAAGCATCAATTGTTAACCAAAATATTTTTTTTAAAAAAAAAAAGGAAAGAAAATCAATTCGCTGTAATAATAAAAATTGTGAAATTGTAAATTAATTACCATTTCCGTTGCCAATTTTGTAAAGAAGTAAAAAATATAAAAAATTACCTCTTCGTCGTTCCAATCAAACATATCTAGAAGGCCACAGAAAAAATCACTCCACCAAATAGCAAGCTCACAAAATTCCAATTTGAACTTAAGTTGAACATGGCCAATTTCCCCCCAACTAAAAAGATCAACTAATCTCCAAAACAGCTCCGTGGGAAGCGGGGGTCAGCATGAATCAAGAGTCTCACCAAACAAATTTTCAGTTAGCAAAGTTTCCAAATGTCAGAAAATGGCAAACGAAAGTCAAAGCAACAAAACCTCGTCGGGAAAGAAATAGAGGGACACAGAGAGAACGGAGGTGGGTTTTCTTTTTCTTTTTGTTTTTCTTGTTTTTCTTTTGGCTGTGAAAGTCTGGAAGAGTGAAAGCTGTGGGACCATTTTCACGTGGGGTAAGAATTGCATGGCCTGAAACTTTGACACGTCAGCACAGGCGTATCTAAATTAGTGGCTCACAAGTGCAATCTAATACGTTCTTCTAATTGGCTCTCCCTACACTGTTAACGTGTGCAATTACCAGAACAGCCCCATGCTCCGTACTTTCTTTTTTTAAAGGTAAAATAGTTTTTCCTTTTTTTTTTGGGGGGGGGGTGTGTTAAATAAAATGTTCATATTAGTCTTGGAGTTTTTGACCAATTGTTAATGGAGAAAATAACGATATAAATTGAAATATTTTTTAAAAAATAAAGGTGTATTTAAATTTATTTAGTTTAATTAACAACGGATAATATAAATTCATTGCTTTGTTTCTTTACTATACCAGATTTATCTCCGAGCGTTGTTCGCTTTAAAAATAGATGATAAAAATTTATGCATATTCTAAAAGAAAAACTAGTCCTAAATAAGTAATAGCGGATATGCACTAAATTCTTTTATACGACATTAATTAAAATGAAGCCAAAATAATTAGTTTTTCAATTGTATTAATAAGGTAACCGGACAATCTTTACTTTAAATGTCATGACTAGTATCTGCGTTTCTTTGATTTTTTGAATAGTTACATTAATAAACATAAGCATTCAGGTATGATCTAAAAGAATATAGTAAATGATTTATCTAAGTACGGTTACAAATTCAATTGAACCTAATTACAATTTTTTTTACACTTTAATAAAAGACGAATAGAGTAATGACCTATGGCACAATAACTCTGACGAAGGAAAAATCCGACATGACGTCAAACCAACGGTGTCCATGGATCAATGACCTGTAAAACAAGGGTTAGCACTCCAATGAGCAAGTCAGTCTTATGAGTGGTTGAAATAAAGCATCTGAGCTAAGTAGTGAGTAAAATTAGCTTATTGAACTACCACACAAATGTGGGTATATATAAAAATAAGGGAAAGAATATTCTTTAGAATATTCCTTGGGTTCAATGGGCCTAGGTCGACCAAGTGAATTTTAACTATTTGGGCCTTGGCCAAAATTATGATCCATCAAGAGTCCCGCTAAGTCCAGAAAGGAAATGCATTTTTGAGGTTAGCATAATAATTGCAAAAAGTAAAGAAAAGGCCCAATAAGACGCCAAGAAATGAATTCAAACCCATGAACGGGGCTTGGCCCAGAGGAAGGTTGATGCTCCATCGAATGTCCTGCGTAGTGTTAGCATAAAAACACATATATGTAATCATAAGTGTGTAGTACAATGCTCGATAAGACAAAGGAAATCGATCTCGAGCTCGGGCTCACGTAGGAGCCAACCATTCAGGGATCCACCTGATCAGGTAAGACCACAATTCTTCGTAATGGATGAAGAGTAATAGCAGGTGACTGTAGTCAGAGTACAAGGCATTGGTATGCCAAACTCTTGTCGAGGAAGCCTCGGCCTCAACCATCAGGACGTGCCTCAAACATAATGATACGAATCTAGAGGCAAAAGTGGCAGATTTACCTTGACGCGGAAGTTATGAATATCCCAGGACTTGAAAACTTGCAAATCCAATATTATGGACTCCAAAACACGCGAAAAATAAAAGAAAAGAAGAGATACAAACCACAAAAATTTGCACCAAAAAGGGATGGAAAGGTTTAGAAGATGTAGAAAGTATTTTTAGGCTAGCAACCCAATCAATTGCCTCTCTAACAACCCTATCCCTTCGATTTATGGATAGAACGGCTAGCGAAAAGGCTCCAATGAACAACTAACAAAGCTCCACAAGTAGAAAAAAGACGTATTCTACTCGCATGCATCAACAAAGCACAAGCTTGTGTGCAATGCAACTAGTTTTTGAAAAGAATAGAAAAAAACAAAGAGTTTCCTCCCGTCTCGTATTGAAATATCAAATTCATCAAAGGTACAAATAAAAAGCTGGGCAAGGACCCCTATTTATAGTAGATGGGGCCGAAAATCTTCCTATCAATTAGGAGAAGAGTTTGATCTCTAACTCTATTCCTACTTTAAGGAACTACAAATCAACTTAACCTCTAATTGATAACTTGTGTCTTGTCTATTAAGGCAATGTATCTAGACACCTTTATAAACTTAAGAAACACTAGTATAATGAAAATAAAACTCCAAATACAAAGAGATATTCTCTCAAAAGAATCTTATCCTTATGTTGAAGAGAATCTTCTTGAGTTGCCAACACTATCAATATCTTCTTTGTAGAGCAATCATAGCCATTTAATCTGGATATAATCTTCATCTAACGGTTGAGAGTAGACACCAAGGAATAAACTTTTTATTTTGAATAAACTCTAAATTAGATAAAAGAGAATCATATCAAATCTTATCCTTCCATGTGATAAGATTTAAATGATCTTATCTCTAAAAGATAGGAAATCTTCCAAATCTTATCCTTCCACACATGTGATAAGATTTAAATGATTTTATCCATAAAAGATAGAGATTCCAACTCCTAAAAATTAGGAGATAGAACCGGCCTCCCATTCTTGGTTTATGGGCCGAAATTTCCTTCCTCAAATGGGCCTTTACTACATTAATAATCTTGGGTTTGTAACTTCTAGATTTGACATTCTCTTGGGCCAAACCATTTGATTTAAAATTATTAAGTGCACTCTTTATTCTTTTATTCCTAGCTCGAGTCATTGGGCCTCCAATGTTGGATAATAGATCTTGAACCACACCTTGAGCTTGGACATTATTTGGAACCCGAACACCTTGATAATCTTGGACTTAATCACCAAGGATGTTCACATCACATAAACTTATAGTGGATTCCCTACTTGGATGAACACCATAGTACGAGGGCACATATCGTCTGAGGGGTCATCCCCGAGCCACCAGAGTTGGCAGAAAGACTGTGACAGAACCCACCCCGCTTCAACTCAAATCAGTGAGGTTCAAACATCGTTACAAAATGAGAGATCCGTTGCCAGATCTACGAGGGGTTAATTATCAGCCCCTACAAGGAGAACTCTAACGCCGACGTCAAGAGAAGCCGACGTCCAACAAGCGTCTAGTGGATAGGATCTTTGACGACACTTGATAGGCCGAGTCATCTATATGAATAGACCCCGATGGCACATAATAGGCAAAAATATATAATCAGAGCACCATCAGTCGATAGAAGACATATAAGGAGAAGCCTTGGACCCTGCTCTAACTCATGTTAACAAGGGTCAATAGAAACTGATATGGCTCATGATAGGCCGAAGGTCGAAGCGTAAATCCTCAATGGCACGTGATAGGCTGAGGGGACATTCGGAAAGATCGAAGATATAAACCTCAATGGCGCATGATAGGCCGAGGGTCGAAAGCGCAGAACCTCAAGGCACATGATAGGCCGAGGGAACTTCGGGAAAATTGAAGAGATGGACCTCAATGACGTGTGATAGGCTGAGGGTCGAAGGTGTAGAACCTCAAGGCACGTGATAGGCCGAGGGAACTTCGGGACAATCGAAGAGATGAACCTCATTGGCATGAGATAGGCCGAGGGGCCTTCGAGAAGATTGAAGAGATGAACCTCAACAGCGCGTGATAGCCGAGGGTCGAAAGCGTAAAACCGCAAGGCACGTGATAGGTCGAGGGGCTTTCGGAAAGATCAAAGAGATGAACCTCAACAGCGTATGATAGGTCGAGGGTCGAAGGCGTAAAACCTCAAGGCACGTGATAGGCTGAGGAGCCTTCGGAAAGATCGAAGAGATGAACCTCAACAACGCTTTATAGGCCAAGGGTTGTCTTCGAGAGGCACAGTTACTAAGCCATAGGGACTAAGATGGCTACAAGTGCAGATGCCGGGTAATGTAGAGGGTAATGTCCAAAGGGGAGCCATCTTCGGACAAAAGAGATGGCGATAAACCTCTTGTTCCGAGGTCGAGGGATATACGAATGGAAGATTCAAATTTTACCAAATAGTATGAAGACTACACAATCATGGGTGGATTAAGGCCACGAGTTTGGGCTTGAAGGTCGATCGACGCCGTATGAGTTTTGAACGTAGAGGCGGATCAATGCCATATGAGTTTGGAACTCGAAGGCCGGTTGACGCCGTGTGAGTTTTGAACTTAGAGGCAGATCAAGGCCGCATGAGTTTGGAACTCGAAGGCCGATCGACACCGCATGAGTGTTGAACCTGAGGGTGAATTAAAGCTGTACGAGTTCGAGACTCGAATGCTGATCGATGCCAATAAGTGTAGAACTCAAAGGTTGGCCAACGTTGCATGAGGTGTTGAACCTAAAGGCGGATCACAACTGTACGAGTTCGAGGCTCGAGGGCTGGTCGACACTGAATAGGTTTTGACCTTGAGGGCTGGTCAAAGTCGTAGGAGTTTTGAATTCAGAAAGCAGATCATGGCCAAATGAAGTTTTAGACTTAGAGGCGGATCGGGACCGAATGGAGTTTTAGACTTAGAGGCAGACTGGGGCCGATGAGTTTGGATCTCGAAGGCTTCGATGCCTTATGAGTTTTGAACTCGAGGGCTGGTCGACACCGTGTGAGTTAACTCGAGAGCTGGTTGACACCGTAGGAAATTTTTAAAATTTTCCTTTTACCCGAACTCGTATCTTAAATTGCCCGATCTATTACCACTATTATTTGTCTAAGATAAGTTTATGAAACTAATAT